AAAAAAAAAAAAAAAAAAAAAAATACTACTAGCCAAGAACTTTTGCTTTATAAAAGTCTTAGCTATAAAGCTTGCTGTCTTAACTAGTGCACTCTCAAATCTGGAGATAATTTTTTTTTTTTCCTGTTAAGTCAAGGGAAATCCTTGTATGCACTTTCTCTTTTCAGACAAGAACTAGCGTGGCCTTTTTTTCTTGTTGCTGCGTGTTCTTTGTAGCATTCTCTTTTTTTGCTTTCTGAAAGACAGCCTGAAACATGCAAAGAGCAAGTTCTTCAGTGAAAGCGTATGGGCTGTTCTTGTTGAACCTCTGATGTGACTAGGGGAGATAGGAATGTGGATGGCTCTGTGTGGCCCCAAATCTTAGTGGCACACTGGTAAAATGACAAGCAATGCTTAAAAAAAGAGTCTACCTACTTGTCCTTTTTCCTAAAACAATTCTGAAACCCATGGATGAAACACACTTTCAGCTTTTTTAGCAAATATGACATTCTAGGAAGTAATTAAGAGTCAAACATCTTTTGGTATGTACGGAGCTGGTTACATTAGTGATCCTACATTGGCTGGTGTTTGGACTATTAATACTCCTTTGTCCGGACTTGAATATTTGCACTGCAAAGAAAGAACCCTCTTGGGTTCCTAGAATCATTCAAGTTATTTTTTTGCTCTTCTTCCCTTTCAGTAATTTATTTCTTGGCTTCTTGTAGCAGAGAAGGAAGGGTTCATGGTTAGTACTTTTTGATGAATGTAAAGTGTATGTGCTTTTATTTAGTTTGTCTTAAAAACAGCTTGAAAATGTTAAGAATACCCTGACTTCTTTCCCTTGCCTGCTAAATTTGCCTACTTCTCTATTTAAGAGAGCTATTGCTGGCTTTGTACTGACATCGCAGAGGATTGATAAGTGCTCTAGTACATTGGTTCTTGTCCTTTGTGTTCCTGTGGCCCAGCTCCAGGTCCTGCTCAGCCTTATGTCATTCCTGCAACCAGCTTCCTCCAAACCCCACACATGATCCTCTTGCCAGCTGTGGCAACTAAGTTTGCATCCTAACACCTCTGGAGTGGAAGCAGAATAATTGCATTTACAAGGGAGTGTACACGAGCTAATTATCTTTGCTCCTCTACAG